TGTTGAATGTAGCTGTTTTGTGCAATGGCTGCACAGTTATATGTTTTTATGTGTTTTATTGTCTTTTGCTGCCATGTGTTCAATGGAGTTTTGCCTCTGTCTTTGGAGATAATTGGATTACTTCCCAATTATCTCCAGGATAGAAGACTCTGTGGAACTGGTTTTGGGCAGAAAAGCCATGCTTCCTTTGGTCACAAAGGACTACGATCTATCTTTTGAACCACTGGACCAATTTGTATGATTTTGACATATGTTTGTATTTGGAGTATGATGATTCTGAAAATGTAATATGTGAATGTGATGCATACTTTTCAAGTTATGAATAATGTGGAAAAATTTTATTTCTCTGCTTGTTATAATTACATTACCCATTGTGTAAGGTAATTGAATCACAGGCAGAGGGGAGGATTTTGTGTGGGAGTGTCTGAGTGTATTGTATGTGTTTATTGGTTGTGTTCCAAAACCCTGTGGGTGGTACTAATGTGTAAGAATGTGTACATAAGCACAATAAACCCACAGCTCTGACTGTTCACTGCTTGACCCTCAACACGGAGCTTTGTCTCGTTCTTGTGGGGATTTACTGTATGCTGTTCCAGTTTGACTGCTAGGAGTGTAAACCTATTCATATGGTTTTTCCTATTCGGCTATTTACAGCATTCGTATGGTTTCCTGTTCGGTGGATTGGTGTTCTGCAGTAGCTGTGCCTGTGCATCTGAAAAGGGGAATATCACCTAAACGGTTTTTAACCTCTTTGGTGCAAAACGGTCCGTTACACAAGGTACCACTAGGTAGAGATCAATGTGCATATTGTAGAGAGGAAGGGCATTGGAAGAGTGACTGCCCACAGAGGGGATATATTGCAGGTGGTAGACAAGAAGAGAGAAGAGGGCGAGGTGATAATGGTAGCAGCTATAGAGGACGAGGTAGAGGAAGTTTTGGAGGGAGATATTATCCCCCTACCCAGAGATTAAGGGATAGGGAAGATAGAGATTTTGTAGGTCTGGCTGACACTGTCATGGAAGACTATTGATACCGACTGGGCTCCATCCCACTTGGCCGAGCGGAGCCTATGGCCGATGTATCAATAGGGGGAAAGAGAAGTCCTTTCATGATAGACGTGCTGAACATTCTGTGGTGACCAAATTGGTAGCTCCTCCTTCTGAGAAGATTATAACTGTGATAGGAGCTACTGGGAAAAGCGCTGCTAGACTGATTCTCAGGAGTCGCACTTGCATTCTAGGAGGCCATTTTTTGAAGCACCAGTTCCTATACATGCCAGAGTGTCCAATCAAACTTCTAGGAAGAGATCTATTATCAAAGCTTCAAGCTCAGATAACTTTTCTACCTAATTGATCAACTTCTCTGAAGTTTACTAAATCGCCTGGCATAATAGCTGTATTAGTGCCAAAAGAAGAAGGATGGCGCTTCTATTCTGTAATAACAAATGCAAACCCTAAGAGTGATGGAACTTTATTTGACATTCCAGGAGTATGGGCAGAAAATAATTCTCCAGGACTTGCTTGTAACATCCCACCGATACATATTGAGTTAAAGCTCGGGGTGTATCCTGTTAGCCGTTGTATGTTGTTCTTTTATATACCCCAACAGCTGTAAAGGTGGCAGAAGTGACTCCTTGGATTCATCACTCTAGGGGTAAACCAGTTGCAGACTCTTGGCAAGCTACTTCAGATCCTGAGAATCCTTGCAAGATCCGGTTGAAGCGCATAACCCATTTGGATTGAACATGTCGTGAGAAAAAGTACGAGGGGATATCGAGACATTCTAGTTAAAAGTCTACAGAGATCATCAAGTAGGTGTTTTGACGATCATAATAAAGCCTATGTGTCATAAGCCAGAGTGTCTCGAAGAGATCTCTGTGAAGGAAAGTGAGGATCAGAAGGACAACAATCCTTGCAGCCCTCACAAGCGGGAAGCTGAGGTGCCGTCGCACGGTGGAAGAATAAGATGAGGACCACAAGAATGATGTGCTTAATTACATATTTTAGTATTTTTATAATTTTTCAGGAGGGTAAAGGTAAGGATATTCAAAGCTGTGTTAGTTGTATTAAGACTACAAAAACAGGTAACCAAATATCCCAAACTCTTATTTGGCACTCACAGTATGAATGTAAGGGATCTGTATCTAAATGTAGATATTTAGATATTAATTACAGTGTGTGTCACCCAGCAGTAGGAGAGCCTAAATGTTTTGATTCCCAATTCCAACCCCATACAATTTGGTTGGTAATTCGGAATAGTAACTCCCAGGGGACATTAATAAATAGGACTGTGATAAGCACCATACATTCCACGGGTATTCTATTATTTGATGCATGTAAGGCGATTTCGGGTAGCAGAAAACCTTGGAATGTATGCGGTAATCTGAAATGGGAACGGACTTATGGGTTTGACAATAAATATTTATGCCCTAGCAAAAGATCTACTGATCCTGACTGCCCAAATAGAGACTTAAACTTCTGCCCCTATTGGTCATGTGTAGGTTGGGTGACCTGGGGAAAGACAGTAGATCAGGATATTATTATCCAAAGGTTGCCCACTACACTGTATTGTAAAACTATGGAGTGTACCCCGTTCACATGACCATTTCCAATCCAAAGCACTTAATTGACAAGTTCGGAAATCTATTTGGGTTCCAAATATACGGAACAGGGTTGGATCCTGGGGCTATTATATATGTAGGCATCGAAATGGAGACAGTAGCAACCCAGACTCATCAGGTTTTTCATTCCTTGTATGAGGAGATGAGTGTTGAGGATAAAATTCCCCATAATATTAAGAACCTATTTATTGATTTGGCTGAGAGTATTGCAGGTAGTCTTAATATAACTAATTGCTTTGTATGTGGAGGTACTAATATGGGAGACCAGTGGCCATGGGAAGCAAAGGAAGCATGGTACCCTAGTTCTGAGACAGATGAACAACAGATACTTTCTCAGTCTGATCATCAAGTAAGTACCAGAGGTAAATCAGAGTGGCAGTTAAATACATCTATCATAGGCCATGTATGTTTAGCTAGAAGAGGGCCAGTGTATAATACACCTGTTGGAGAGTTAACCTGCTTAGGACAGAAGGCCTATAATGCTGATACAAAAGATACTACTTGGTGGTCAGCATCAAATGTCTCAGAACCTACTAATCCGTTTGCCAATTACACTAATTTGAAAGAGGTATGGTTTGATTTATCTGCTACATCCAATTGGAAAGCCCCAGCAAATCTATACTGGATTTGTGGTAAGAAGGCATATTCAGAGTTACCACAAGACTGGGAAGGGACATTTGTACTAGGTATGCTCAAACCATCCTTCTTCTTGTTGCCAATCGAAACAGGAGAGACCTTGGGAGTTAAGGTTTATGTTTATGTAAATCATAAAAAGAAGCGAGCATCTTTGAATATAGGTAGCTGGGAAGATGATGAGTGGCCTCCCCAACATATTATTAATTATTATGGACCTGCTACTTGGGCAGAAGATGGTACTTATGGATATAGAACCCCAATATATATGCTCAACCGTATTATAAGACTACAGGCGGTGGTTGAGATTATCACCAATGAGACTGTGAGGAACTGACTCTGCTGGGTTTTGAACCCTGATTTACATGGTGCTAAACCTTTTCCTTACCAGTACACCAGCCTGCCTTTTGCAAATTTACCTGAGATCTGATACTATTGCTTGTAGAGTCAAGGTTATCAGTGACAACTCACTTCAGCTGTGTCTGGTCAGGTGTCTGGTTCTTGGCCTATAAAAGCCACTTCCTGTCTCTGTACCTTTGCCAGATTATTGTGGTTCCTGTACTCTCTAATCCAGCGTGTTCCTGTTTCTCCTTCCTGTTGCTGAATTTGGACTGTTTTGACTTTGCTGCTTCTCCTTCCCACTGACCTCGGCTTGCCTCACTACGATTATCATCTTTCTGTTCCAGTCTCCCATCTCTGCTTAAGACCAGAAGGCCACTCAAGGCTCAGGGGCTCAACCACCTGGGTAACGAGTGGCTACCTCTGGCAGAAAACATTGCTGATCTGGCTACTGGACTCCAAAACTTTGTAACATCAATATCATTACAGAATAATCTGGCCCATTCATGGAGACCGTCGGATCAGATTCTGCATTGGCCCAGCAGGTTGCTTTTAATGCAAGAACTATGCAGACCCAGGCACAGACCATTCAAGTGCTGCAGGATCAGGTAGCTGAACTGCAAAATGAAGTTCGATCAATGCATAGTGAGCTTACCAGCTACAGGGCACATGATGTTGCGGCTGCTGCTACTACTACTGTTACACCTGCACAAGATGCCCGCTTGCCTCTACCAGAAAAATTTGGAGGAGACCGCAAAAAATTCAGGGGTTTCCTAAATCAATGCCGTTTGCATTTCATGATGTTACCTAACCGTTTTCCATCTGAAAGAGAGAAGGTGGGATTTATTTTTTCCCTCTTCAAAGATGAAGCCCTGGCCTGGGGCTCCCCTTTTCTGGAACAGGACAGTCCAATCTTGGGAAATTTAAAAGACTTTCTTGAGGCCATGTGCCTAGTTTTTGATGATCCCAATCGCTGTGCTACAGCAGAAGCCACTCTCCTTCATTTACATCAAGGGAGGCGCTCTGTGGCTGAATATGCTGCTGAATTCAGACAGTGGGTTACTGATACTACTTGGAACCAATCAGCCCAGAGGTTCCACTTCAGAAGGGGTCTCTCAGAAGCTATAAAAGATGAGCTAGCTCGTGTTGATCTTCCTGTTGAGTTTGATGCATTTGTGCGGTTGGCTATCCGTATTGATCGGAGACTTTCAGAAAGAAGATTGGAAAGACAGGGCTCTTTTAAACCAAGTGCTACTCCTACTTTCTATTCAAGAATTTCTACTCCGACCCCACAAACACCTACAGACTCTGAACCTGAGGCTATGCAGGTAGATCTAATAAGAGGGCCATTATCCAATGAAGAAAAACAGTGGCGACGCACTCACAACTTATGCCTGTATTGTGGTAGTGCAGGGCATTATGCCATCAATTGCCCTAACAAGTCTAAAAGAACAATAGCTATGACTGCTGAGGGTGCACAGATTCAACACCAATCCCAGATTTCAGACCAACTGGATTCTGTCACACAACCCTTGTTTTCTCTGGCTCAGGGTGAAGAAGGTATGATGACTCAACATCCTCATTTGGTGGTGCCTATCACTTTGCAATATGGTGATAATAAAATTTCAACTACAGCTATGATAGATTCCGGAGCAGGCGGAAACTTTATGGACATTAAATTTGCAGCAGGAAATAAAATTCAGTCTATCCCTAAATCTTCACCTGTGTTAATGGAAACAGTAGACGGTTCTCCACTTACGTCAGGCCCGGTTACACATGAGACTGTGCCCTTAAAATTGATTCTGGAAGTGAATCACCATGAGTCTATATCTTTCCACCTAATTTCCTCAACACAGTTTCCAGTGATTTTGGGTATACCCTGGCTTGCTCTGCATAACCCACAGATTGATTGGAAGACTAGAACTTTGTCCTTTCCTTCAGAACACTGCTTAATGAATTGTCAACCCTCTAAGGCGACACCTGTTACCACAACAATTAATGAAATGGTTGCTACAAACTTAACTAAGCTTCCGCTACAATATCGGGATTTTGCAGATGTCTGTGATAAGAAGAATGCTGATCAGCTTCCACCTCACAGGCCTTATGATTGCCCCATAGAGCTGCTACCTGGAGCTGCTATCCCATTTGGCCGTATATACTCCCTTTCTGAGCCTGAATTGAAAGCACTTCGTGAATACATACAAGAAAATCTTGCCAAAGGCTTTATTCGACCATCCACTTCTCCAGCAGGAGCTCCTATATTCTTTGTAGAAAAGAAAGATGGCAGTCTACGGCCATGTGTCGATTACAGGGACATTAATAAAATCACTGTTAAAAACCGTTATCCCTTGCCTCTCATTCCTGAACTTCTGGAGAGACTTCGTTCAGCTAAAATATTTACGAAGCTTGATCTACGGGGGGCATATAATCTGGTTCGCATAAGACCAAATGATGAATGGAAAACAGCTTTCAGAACCAGGTACGGACATTACGAATATCTAGTAATGCCATTTGGGCTTTGTAATGCCCCTGCAACTTTTCAGCATCTAATCAATGATGTACTACGGGATCTCCTGGATCAGTTTGTTGTGGCATATTTGGATGATATCCTGATATTTTCTGATAATCTTGAAAATCACAGAAAACAGGTCTGCATTGTTCTTGAGCGCCTTCGTACCCACCACCTATACATTAAACTGGAAAAATGTGAGTTTGAACAAACAGAAATTCAGTTCCTGGGGTATGTAATAACTCCTAAAGGTTTAAGTATGGACGCAAGTAAAATTAAAGCTGTGCTGGACTGGCCCATCCCCAAGAATGAAAAAGATATACAGAGATTTGTGGGGTTTGCCAATTTTTACAGGCGTTTCATTAAGAATTTCTCTGCCGTTATTACACCGATCACTGAACTTACACGTAAAGGGACTCCTTTTCAGTGGTCCAATAAGGCTGACACTGCATTTTCCAGATTAAAGACTCTGTTTACATCTGCCCCTATCTTGGTACATCCTCAGCCAGAATTGCCATTTACTGTAGAGGTAGATGCTGCTGATTCAGCTGTTGGGGCTATACTGTCTCAAAGGACTGGACCTAAGATGTTGTTACATCCATGTGCCTTCTATTCCCGCCAGATGTTACCAGCAGAAAGAAATTATGACATAGGGAATAAAGAACTTTTGGCTATAAAAGCTGCCTTCACCGAATGGAGACATCTCTTGGAGGGAGCCACCCATCCAATTACTGTCCTCACAGATCACAAAAATCTGGAATGTATCCAATCCGCTAAGAGACTGTCAGCCAGACAAGCACGCTGGTCCCTATTTTTCTCAAGGTTTAATTTTTTTATTTCATACCGCCCTGGTTCCAGAAATGGCAAGGCGGATGCCTTGTCTAGGATAGCTGACCCCCTCCATACTACAGTAACCAAGGCCACCATCTTGCCGGAGAGCAGATTTTTAGGAGTTACCTTTCCTTCTGATCTAATGTCTCGCATTAAAAAGGGCTACTCTAAAGATCCAGTTTTTCGTGATCCTCCTCGTGATCTTCATATGACCATGCTTAATGGGTTTTGGATTTTTCAACAACGTCTGTTTGTTCCAGAATCAGTGCGACTGGACGTTTTACGCCTCTACCATGACTCTAAACCAGCAGGTCATCCAGGAATCCGAAAGACACAAGAACTACTTACCCGATCCTTTTGGTGGCCTAAATATTATGAGGATGTTAAGAAGTATGTGTCATCTTGTGATGTATGTGCCAGACATAAGACTCCTCGCTCATCCCCTGTTGGCTTGCTTCAGCCTCTTCCGATTCCTCATCGTCCCTGGGGATCTATATCCATGGACTTTATTGTGGAACTACCTCCCTCTAAGGAACACACTACTATTCTTGTTGTTGTGGACCGGTTAACCAAGATGAGTCATTTCATACCAGCTCGTGGTCTCCCTTCAGCTAAACAGACTGCTGACCTTGTTATTCGGGAAATATTTCGCTTGCATGGAGTGCCTGATGAAGTAATTTCTGACAGGGGAGTGCAGTTTACATCTCATTTTTGGAAATATTTTTGTTCTATTCTAGGTATTAATGTAAATCTGTCTTCAGCTTTTCATCCACAAAGTAATGGACAGACTGAGCGAACCAACCAGACTTTAGAACAATATTTGCGGTGCTATATTAGTTACCTGCAGGATGACTGGCTGGATTTTCTACCCACGGCGGAGTTTGCCTATAACAATGCCCAACACTGCTCCACTTCTCTGAGCCCATTTTTTGCCAATTATGGTTACCATCCAACCTTTCTAGTGAGTCTCCCAATTACTACTCCCATTCCTGCAGTCACTGACCGGCTAACCGCCTTACGAGATTCCCAAGAACTGTTGAAGGAGACTCTTTCGGAGGCTCAGGAATGTTACAAAAGAGCTGCTGATAGGCACAGAAAGGAGGCCCCAGTTTATCATGTTGGTGACAAGGTTTGGCTGTCAACAAAGAATCTTAAGCTTAGGATTCCTTCTCATAAATTGGGTCAAAAGTTCATGGGACCTTTTAAGATAATCGCTCAGATCAATGCAGTCACCTTCCGTCTGCAACTTCCGGATTCCATGAAAATACATCCGGTGTTTCACGTGGCACTGCTTAAACCTTTTCATGAAAATACTTTCCCTGGTCGAGCCTTGCCTGCCCCACCACCAGTCCTCGTGGATGGTGAAGATGAATACGAGGTGGAAAAAATTCTTGACTCCAGGATCTTCCGCAACAAGCTTCAATACTTGGTTCATTGGAAAGGCTATGGTGAGGAGGATAGATCGTGGGAACCAGTGGACAATATTCATGCTCCTGATCTTCTTCAGTCTTTCCATGCACAGTACCCTGCTAAACCAGGAAATAGGGCATCCAGAGGCTGCGCCTGTAGAGGTGGAGGTAATGTGAGGAACTGACTCTGCTGGGTTTCGAACCCTGATTTACATGGTGCTAAACCTTTTCCTTACCAGTACACCAGCCTGCCTTTTGCAAATTTACCTGAGATCTGATACTATTGCTTGTAGAGTCAAGGTTATCAGTGACAACTCACTTCAGCTGTGTCTGGTCAGGTGTCTGGTTCTTGGCCTATAAAAGCCACTTCCTGTCTCTGTACCTTTGCCAGATTATTGTGGTTCCTGTACTCTCTAATCCAGCGTGTTCCTGTTTCTCCTTCCTGTTGCTGAATTTGGACTGTTTTTGACTTTGCTGCTTCTCCTTCCCACTGACCTCGGCTTGCCTCACTACGATTATCATCTTTCTGTTCCAGTCTCCCATCTCTGCTTAAGACCAGAAGGCCACTCAAGGCTCAGGGGCTCAACCACCTGGGTAACGAGTGGCTACCTCTGGCAGAAAACATTGCTGATCTGGCTACTGGACTCCAAAACTTTGTAACATCAATATCATTACAGAGACAGCACAAGCACTCAACCACTTAGCAAAGCAGAATACCTGGATGCGATCAGCCATATACCAGAATAGGCTAGCCCTTGATTACTTACTAGCAGTAGAAGGAGGTGTATGCGGGAAGTTTAATCTAAGTAACTGTTGTCTGCACACAGACGATGAAGGGCAGACAGTGGCTGAACTTATCAGTCACATGGTTCAACTTGCGCATGTACCTACTCAGATCTGGAACAGGTATAATCCGAGTAGTTGGTTCGGAAGTTGGATTTGAGCAGCTTGGAGGGATTAAGGCACTAGTAGGAGGAGTAGTATTTATTATATTCGTATGCCTCCTCTTGCCCTGTCTACTCCCAATAGTGGTCAGGTCTATATGTAGTGTTATAGAGAGCACTATAGAAAGAAAGACAGCTGCCCATGGCTGTCTGGAAGTATGAACCTCTAGCCCAGAGAAAGAATAATCAGGATGAGGAATGTTGAGAGAGCACAAAGTTAAGTTAGAATGATTACAAGGTCTGTACTGGTTCATGGTTCATGGTCTGTTCATGGTTACTTGAGTGGTGTTGGTAGATTATGATTAGTGATGCATCTGGAATCATATATCAGAGGCATCAAAGGGGGGAATGTGATGGGATTCCAGCATGGTCAAAATTTAGTAGGCCGAAATCTTAACATGGCATATGCTAATTAGTATCTGATTACAAACAGTTGGATGAGTCATCAGTATACTGAGCATGTGTGGAAGTGGGTAGTAAATTCCTTTGTCTTCAACAAGCCATGTGGTCTGCCCATATAAGGTGATCCTGAATATCCTGTGTTCTGATTGGTCTGAAGAATATAGGAGGGGTTATACTGTATGGGAGGGGATATGCTGCCAACAAAAGGAATCTACACCATGCTTTCTGCCTCTCAGATATTTTTGGAACAGGAGTTCATCTGAGACCCGATCGGTATGTGAATAAAGGCCTCTTACTTCCTGAATACCTGTGTCCATATCTCTATGTGTGGCTTCTGCAGTTTTCCTGTTATTCCTCCGGTAACACTACAAACCTATGTTAGAGGTCTCCTTCATGCATATGTCCCAGAAATACCAGCGGATATGTTACTCATAGATAGAGTGCATCGGCTTCCAAGGCCAAGATTCTTGCCTGAAACAGCTCCACGAGATGTCTTGATGCGCATTCATTACTATCATATAAAAGAGCACATATTGCGAGTGAGCTGCAACAAAGTGAAACCGCTGGCAAACTTCCCAGAGATTAAAATATTTGCGGATCTGTCGGCCTCCACCTTATGCAGGAGGAAAGACTTCTCACAAATAGCCAACACACTGTGGTCATCAGATTCCGCTGGGGTTTCCCAACAAAAATGCTGTTAACAAAAGACGGATTCACACAAGTTATCACATCACCGGAGGATGGGATAAGAAAATTGTGGCTCTGGGGACTCAGAGAAAAAGAACCAGAACCGCAGGCTTCACCACCTCGTGATTTGCAGCTTGAATGGAGCGGAGCTACCCCTACGAAAAAACCTCACTAAAAGAATGCAAGTATAAAACAAAAGCAAGCATGATGTAATTGCACACAGCATGGACTGATCTCCATGTAAAATACTTGCTAAAAGTTATTAATGTTAATCTGTTTTCTATCTTCCCATCATATGTTTTAAAGCAACCTGTATATTAAGCACATATTGTTAAATTTTTCCATAGTAAGAGCCAATGTAAATTACCTGCTAAGGGTTATTACTGTTAATCTATTTTCTACTCTTCCACCTAGTGATCTAAAGCAACCTGTATATTAAGCACATATGGTTAAACTTTCCGATAGTAAGATACCATGTAAATTACCTGCTAAGGGTTGTTATAGTTAATCTGTTTTCTACTCTTCCATCTAATGATTTAAAGCAACCTGCATATTAGGCAACTAATGGTTCAATTTTCCCATAGTAAGAGACCATGTAAACTACCTACTAAGGGTTATTACTGTTAATTTGTTTTCTACTTTCCCACTAATGAGCTAAAGCAAACTGCATATTGAACAACATAATGTTAAATCTTTCTCTAGTAAGAGACCATGTAAATTAACTATTAAGGATTATTACTGGTAACTATTCTCTACTTTCCCACCTAATGGGTTACAGCAACCTGCATATTAAGCAACATACAGTTCAATCTCTCTTTGGCAGAGCTTCCCAAACTTTTATGGGCCCACTTTTCAAAACTGTAATTTTTCGAGACCCACTTGCTTTTAATGCATATTTTAAAACACCATGAACACCATGGCAATCAGCTTTAGAGGCATACAATTGGCACACAATAGCAATCCACTTTAAATGCACACAACTGGCACACCTTGACCATTACTTTTAGAAGCATAAAAATTGGCACACCATGGCAAACAGCTTTAGAGACATACAATTGGCAACTATAGCAATCTGCTTTAGATGCATACAATTGGCACACCATGGAAATCCGCTTTAGATGCATACAATTGGCATACCATGGCAATCAACTTTAGAGGCATACAATTGGCACACCATGGCAATCAGCTTTAAAGGTATACAATTGGAACATTATGGCAGCTTTAGATGCATAAAATTGGCACACTGTAGCAATCCGCTGTAGATGCATACAATTGGCACACCGTGGCAATCAGTTTTAGAGGCATAAAATTGGCACACAATGGCAATCCGCTTTAGATGCATACAATTGGCATACCATGGCAATCAGCTTTAGATGCATAAAATTGGTACATCATGGCAATCCGTTTTAGATGTATAAACTTGGCACATCATGGCAACTTTAGGTGCATAAAATTGGCACACCATGCCAATTGGTTTTAGAGGCTTACACTTGGCACACCATGGCAACCAGCTTTAGAGGCATAAAATCGGAACATCATGGCAATCAGTTTTAGAGGCATAACATTGGAACATCATGGCAGCTTTAAATACATAAATTTGGCACACCATGGCAATCAGCTTTAGATGCATAAACTTGGCATACCATGGCAATCACTTTTAGATGCATAAACTTGGCACATCATGGCAATCAGCTTCAGAGGCATACAATTGACACACCATGGCAAACAGATGCATAAAATTGGCACACCATGGCAATCAGTTTTAAAAGCATAAAATTGGCACTCCATGGCAATCAGCTTTTAGATGCACAAAATTGGCACACCTTGGCAATTAGCTTTAGATGCATAAAAATGGCATAACATGGCAGTTTTAGAGGCATAATTGTGGGTATGTTGTTAGACCGCAATCTATCTTTTGGCCTTCACATAGTAAAACTTGCATCTAAACTTTATCCAAAACTAGGTGCCTTGTACTGAAACAAATCCTGCCTAAGCCCCACAGTAAAGGAAAAGATTGTACAGCAAATGCTGATGCCAATCATTGATGTAGTATATGCACCTGCACCTCAAACTCACCTAAATAAGCTTAATACATTGTATAACTCGTTCTGCCACTTTGTGCTACAATGTAATTACAGGACCCACCATTGTGACATGCTAAAAGAACTAAACTGGCTGTCGCTGGAATCCCGACACACTCTTTATCTTTCCAGCCTTGTGTTTAAGAGCTTTTCTGGGAAGCTCCCACCCTACCTGAGCAGAATGCTCTCCCCAGCTGTTCCCACCTCCTATAACCTCCGATCTAGTACCAGCACTTTATTTAGTCTACCTCAATACAAAAAGAAAGCGGCTCGATCCTCATTTTCCTACAGAGCACCGCAATTATGGAACAACCTCCCGCACACTTTCAAATCTTCCCCAGGCTTAAAATCCTTTAAGAGATCCCTCTTTCCATATCTCAAAACAGAATGCACGTTTCATGGTTGATGATATATTTCTTACCAGTTCTATGTTAAATTTTGTATATATTGTGTATTAAATTAATATTGGTTTTGTATTTTATTGTACCCTATTATATCAATGCAATATTTTGTGAACCCAGGACTTGAATACGAGAGTAATCTCAATGTATCTATGTTTCTATGTATCCTTCCTGGTAAAATATTTTATAAATAAATAATAAATACATTTCATTGGCCATGGCTTTGGTATTACTTCTCATTTTTTAATGTCTTTCAGGCGTAAGTTAACAACGATACATTACTTCAACCTTAGCATTCTGATAATGTCTTATCGTTATCTCACCAAAATCTGTCCCCAGTACCGAAAGCTGACTCCACATATGGCTCTTCTTATTTGCATCATCTCTCTTGGGAATGTTCATTAATATAGAATAGCGTTCCTTGCAGTGAAATTCATGTGACAGCTTTTAGGTGCTGTGTGTGTAACCTAGGTTTAATTACACTAAGTAGTAACAGTGTATGTTTTCACCTAGGTATTGGATTCATTTGTATTTTATAGCAGTTTCCCTGTAACAATAGTGTTGTGCGGAGAGAGATGGAGTCCATTAACCAAATCACTTGGGTAGCCTGCCAGTAAGGGATAGAACCTGAACTTTCTCAATATACAAGGCAGCATTTCCTGCAAAGCTAAGCATTAAAAGCAGGCACTCTTATAATCGTATAGCATGCTTCAACAAGAAGCCAGAGTTGTTGGGTAGTAAAATATGAGAATGGTCAATGAATCTTTATGTGGTAATCCACATGGGCAACTGCGACATGATAAAAAGTAACTAGAATAATCTTGCAAACACAGTTTTATAAGGTAAAAATATTTACATAAATTAGATCAAAATAATTATGTTGCACATACCCACTTTAGACTGAAAAACATTCCTCCACTTTTCCTAGCACCTTTTGATGAATTGAGTAACATTTGTGATTGTCTTACTTGAACATTTTTATCAGAGGTTATAAGAAAGGTGTATTAGTATGTATTGATGCCATTGGAATGCATTAGTGTACTTGTGTGTTATGTTTGCGTTTGAATGCAATGATGTTTTTATAAATCATGTTGGCTTTTAAATGCAGGTGTGCTCTTGTGTTTAGTGTGGGAATTCTAGCATTTTAATATAGGGGTGTGTTTTAGTTCTAATACAGGGTTGTGTTTGTATGTAATGTTTGCATTTGAGTTACTTATGTGTGTTTGGATGTAGTGTTGGCTTTTAAATGCCGATGTACATTTGTGTATAGTATTCGCTATGGTGATTATTCAACACATATGACTCATTAGCGTGGTTAATGAGATGCTGACCGTTTGTAGTATCCGCTCATGCGCCCGGGGAGCAGGATTGCCGACCCCTTACACAGCTGAACTGTAAGTAATTGATTACTTTCCTTATTTAATGCACAGTTTGTTTCATTTCACTTATGTCCTGATGAAAGTTCCTGGTAGGAACTGAAACGTCTATATTTTGGAGTAAAAGAAATCTTTATGCAAGAAATCCTCGGAGTGCTGATTTTTTTGTCCTGCATATTTAGTGCAATCGAGCACCGGATTGAACGTGTTGTAAGTAGTAGTGCAGGGCTTTTTTTCTATATATATATATATATATATATATATATATATATATATATATATATATATATATATATATCTATATCACAGGTGCCTCATTCCAGGACCCTATTTAGCCTTGACTTGCAGAGAGTCCCAGTAAGGAAGTATTTCCCAAGTAAGTGGATCAATCTCATAAGAGCAAGCATTAGGCTGCTAGAGTAGGACCTGCCAAGAATGGGGTACATTGACATTGTGGCAGGCTTATGCAATATATGATCACTTAATGTAACTAAACCCCCATTATTTTTTGTCTAGGTGAGGTGTTTTTAAATAAAACTATTACAATCTGTAAGATTTAAAAATGATTGTTTAGTGAATAAGCGCTGGATTGTGTATTTTTGTATGTTGTATATTTTGGCCCCATCAGCACCCTATAATGTATGCATGTTCAGGTGAGTGCAGCCCTCTTGGTTTCATTTCACACACATACATATACAGTAGCATACTAACCAGGGGTTAGGTAGTGGATGTTGGCCTGGGTGGCAAGTAACAGGGGTGTGCACAGAGCACACCCTTCTCCTCAGAGCAGGCACCTGTCTACAGGCTGTGGTTTCATTGCAAAAAGTGTCTGCTCTGCAGATTCTTTTAGCAGACCTTGCTGGCAGTGAGGGAATGGCTGGCATCTGTCTGTGTTCTGACTGAACAGCTCGTCTGCCGCTGCATACTTATGCCAAGAACCAGGATATAACATCACCCCAGAGCTGCAATGAGCTGTTCATTCTTTGCACAGACTGATCCCAACAGCAAGCCACTGGGTCTCAGAGATAAATATCTATATACATAACAAATGTGTTTGGGTGTGTATGAATTTTAGTATGTGCATATGAAAGCATATGAGCATGTGTGCAGATGAATGTGTGTGTGAATATGTGTATATGAACATGAGCATGTGTGCATATGAATGTTAATGTGTAAGTAAGAATGCTGCAGTATGTTTGTGTGTGGGGTGCCAATGTACATTTCTCACCGTAAGTACATTTTTATGTGTATACATATATACAAACAATAGCAAGAACAAATATGTAAACACTTTGGAATTAATTAGCTTTATGCAAGGTTTAAAAAAATATCATGTTATCTTCATCAAAGTCATGAGTATAGACAAACAAAATGTGCTTAAACTAACAACACAAACAATTATAATCTTTCATGTCTTTAAACACATCTCATTAACCATTTACAATGCTGTGGAAAGAGTTAGTGAGCACTTGGATTTAATAGCTAGTTGATCCTCATTTGGCAGCAATAACCTCAACATGACATTTCTGGTAGCACCATTCAGGAGAAATGTTGTACAACTCTTCCTTACAGAACTGCTTCAGCTCAGCCAGATTCTTAGGATGTATAGTGTGAACAGCTCTCTTGTGGTCACTCGACAATCTCATTGGGTATAAGATCTGGGCTCTAACTGGGCAAATCTAAAATGTGGGTTTTTTAACCCCTTAAGGACACATGATGGAAATATTCTGTCATGCTTCCCTTTTATTCCAGAAGTTGTGTCCTTAAGGGTTAAGTCATTCTGTAGGGAATTTATTTCAATATTTAGGAACATTATCCTTCTCTATAACTCAACTTCTGATGAGCTTCAGCTGGCATGCAGCCACCCTGATATTATCCTGTAAGATATATTGATAAACTTGGGAATTCATTTTCCCCCTTGATGATGACAAGTGATACAGGTCCCAAAGCATCAAAGGAGCCATAAATCATGTTCTTCCCTCCATTGTACTTAACCTTTGGGATGCTTTTTTAATGTTGATATGCGATGCCCTTTTTTATGCCATAAATAGTGCTGTGTGTTATTCCCAAACAACTCCACCTTAGTTTTATCAGTCCAGAAGCGTTGCAGGGTGTCAAGGTGGTCTTTGGCAAACTTATTTTTTAAAGCAGCATCTTTTTTTTTGTAATGTCCTGCTTGGACACCATACCCATTTAATGTTTTCAGTATAGTAGACTCATGAACTGAGATGTTAGCTTGTTCCAGTGATTTGGAACTCTAACTGAGAAATGTGCAGTATACTCTTTGAGTCACCTTGGCTGGACAGTCACTTCTAGGGAAAGTTGCCATAGCACTAAATTGTCTCCAATCATAGACAATTTGTCTGACAGTGGGTAGATGAATATCTAAGCTTCTTGAGATAGCTTTGTAACCATTTCAGCTTTATGCAACTTAATCAGAGGTCTTTTGAGAACTCTTATGTTGGGCATGGTTCACATCAGTGCTTTTTATAAGTCAGAGTAGCTCTAGCCTCTAACCCACACCTACAATCTTGTTTCATTAATTGGACACCGGTTTTGCCAATATCAAACTCTAATTAGCTTTTGTTGAAGTAATTAACCTAGGGTTTTAAATATTTGTCCAATGATATATTCAATATGTACAAGAGCAGTACAATCATTTATGTGTTATTAGTTAAAGCACTTTGTTGATTACTGTAACTTAGATGAAACCATATTTAAATTCTTTTTTTACATAAATGTAGTAATTTCTAAAGAGTTCACATACTTTTTATTGGCACTATCTATCTATCTATCTATCTATGAGCTTACATGCTAGAGGGAGTGGGGTAAAATGACACAAAAGGCAAGGATAATATCAGGGAAGTAGATTGGTAGAAATAGTATTCACTGAATACTTTTTCTTTTTAACCCCTTAAGGACACAACTTTTGGAATAAAAGGGAGTCATGACGGAATATTTCCATCATGTGTCCTTAAGGTGTTAATGACTGTTGCAGGAGAATTAGTTGGGAGCTATTAACAGTTTAATTGATATGATTCTATCTATCTATCCATCTATCTATCTAAACTTTCTTTGACAGATGGTGTACCATGGTTTCACTAGTCGCTGCCACTTCTGAGCTGAGCACAGTTGGACATCTTTCAGTTGCAAAGGGAAGTATATGTCTTTCATCTGCTACACAAGTTTTCTCGGCCACGCTCTATGTCTACAGTCCTCAATGCTTCCCATTTCTTTGTGCTTCTTCAGAAGAGCTTAAAGAGCACATATAAAAACCTTTGTATGCCTTGTAATTTTTACAGTATAACTGACTTGTATCTTGTTGGTGTGCT